GGCATTCAAATCCACCCCGAGACCCTTTGAAAGATAGGCTACTTCTGAAAGGCCGCCCTCACTGAAACCCATGCTGAGCACAGTTCTCTGACACACCTCAGGTCAGGATGACTCAGAGTTGGCTTGAATGCAGCTTCTTTTGAAGGTGTAATCTAAGAAAGGAGTCCTGCTGTGCGCTGTGGGTTAATGCAACAGACTGAAAAGCAGTTTGAACTGCAAAGTCGGCAGTTCAAGCTCACCAGCTGCTCCCTGGAAACCCTATACAGGGTCCCTATGGGTCAGAATCAACTCAATGGCACCTGACAACAACAACCATCTAAGAAAGCAGGAGAAAGATGGCACTTTCGGTTCCCATAAAAACTTTAGAGCCTCTGAAGTCCTATCCAGGGTCGTTACGAGTCGGAACTGACTTGCTGGCACCCAGCAGCCACAATCTGACAAAGGAATGAAGGCCTCCAAAGAGAAAATTATAGGTCATTACGACGATGGGACAGAAGATGGATACACACAACTTGAGAGGTTCAATACTGTGAAAGCTACTGCACTCCAGAATGAACCATAAAAACCAACTCAATTTTAATCAGAATCCCAACAGGCTGTGTCCCATGAAGGGGAGAATTCCACATTATATATGGAAGTTCAAAGGACCAGGAACAACCAAAGATAAGTAAGGGCAAGGACTTGTCCTGTTAGCTATACAAGGCTCACTATCAAGTGGCAACAATTGACTGAGTGGATCCTTAGCACCAAGCTCACTGCCTCTGAGTTGGTTCCAATACACAGGAAGCCTGCAGGACACAGAGGAGCTGCCCCTCAGGGCTCCCCAGGGTACAAATCTCTAGAGAAGCAGACCGCCCACCTTTCTTCCAAGGAGCAGCTGTAGTTTGCAACTTGGTTAGCAGCCCAAATGCTTAACCCACTGAGCAACCAGTGCTTCTTTTCATTAGCACCAGGATATACAAACACACAAACACACAAGGACAAAACAACAGAGCCGAGTCCCACAACCACCTGGGGCAAGTGTGGTCATACCCATCAATGGGGAAAGACAGTTTTTAAGAGGTGGTGCTGGAATAATTGGGTGCCCGCTGGAAAATAAGACTGGACCCCAACTCAAATATGAAGGGCAAAACTACTCAGCCTCTACAAGACAGCACAAGAGAGAGTCTTCGCTGGCCTTGGGGTCAGGAAACATTTCCTAAATAAGGCACAGATGGAACCCACACTAGGGAAAAGATGAACAGATCTGTCCATATTAAAATTAACAACAGTTCATCCCAAACTCCATGAGAATATTCAGTCAAACCACTGAAGATATTTGTAAATGGTGCTGTGGGTTAATGCACTAGACTGCAAGGTCAGCGGTTCAAGCTCACCAGCTGCTTCTATCCCTTGAAATGGCTGATCACCAACCATTTCTTTTTGGTACAGTGAATCTGTGTATTCCTTCCATCTTCTTTTGATGCTTTCTGCATCATTCAACATTTTGTCCAGAGAAGCCTTCAAAATTTCAAGTCGAGGCTTGAATTTTTTCTCCAGTTCCCTCAGTTTGAGAAATGCTGAGCATGTTCTTCCCTCTAGGTTTTCTAACTCCAGGTCTTTGCTCATTTCATTATAATATTTGACCCTTTCTTCTTGAGCTGCCTTTTGATATTTTCTATTCAACTCTTATACCTCCTCATTTCTTACATTTGCTTTAGCATCTCTATACTGGAGAGCAAGTTTCAGTCTCTTCTGACATTCATTTTTGTCTTTTCTCGTCTTCTTAATGACCTTTTGCTTTCTTCCTGTATGATGTTCTTGATGTCATCCCACAACTCTTCTGGTCTTCAGTCATTAGATCTAATGCATCATGTAATGTTCTTGAGATGATCTCTAAATCAGGTGGGATTTATTTTGGCTCTCGTGGACTTATTTGAATGTTATTCAGATTCAGCCTGAACTTGCATATGAGCAATTGATGGACTGTTTCATAGTCTGTCCCTGGCCTTGTTTTGGATGTAATACAGAGATTTTCTGCCGTTATCTTTCCACAGATCTGTGTTGAAAGAACAGCCCGGATTTTCCTTGAAAGCCAAGATGGGCAGACTTCGTCTCTTACTTAAGACATCTTATCAGGAGGAACCAGTCACTGGAGGACTGCATATCTGGCAAAGTGGAGGGTCCGAGAAAAGAGGAAGACCCCAAATGAGATGTACTGGCCCAGTGATAGCAGTGATGGGCTCAGATATAGCGACGATTGTGAGGCTGGCCCAGAACAGGCAGTTTCGTTCTGTTATGCATAGGATCACAATGAGTCGGTACCAACTCGATGTCACCTAACAACAACTTTCCACAGATGGATCCTATTTGATTTCTGTGTATTCCATCTGGTGAGGTCCAAGTGTACAGTCATCTTTTATGCTTTAAAAAGGTATTTGCAATGAAGAAGTCATTGGTTTTCATTGCAATGAAATGATGAGTATAAAACTGATGTTTTCCCACATAAACTACTACTCAATTCACAATAAAAACTTAAAAAATGTCATTGGTCTTGCAAAATTCTATCATGTGATCTCCAACATCATTTCTATCACCAAGACCATATTTTCCAATGATGTAATCTTCCTCTGATTCCAACCTTTGCATTCCAATTGCCAGCAGTTATCAATATACCTTGATTGCATGTTTGAACAGTATCAGACTGGAAAAATCGGTAGAATTTTTCAATTTTGTCATCACCGGCTTTAGTGGTTGGTGCGTAAATTTGATAGTAGTGGCATTAACTGGTCTTCCTTGTAAGAGGATGGATATTATCCTATCACAGATGGCATTATACTTCAAGACAGATCATGAAATGTTTATGATGATGAATTCGATGCCATTTCTCTCCAATGTGTCATTCCCTGCATAGTAAACCATGTGACTGTTAGATTCAAAACGGCCAATACCAGTCCATTTCAGCTCACTAATGCCTAGGATATCAATGTTCATGCGTTCCATATCATTTTTGATGGTTTCTGCAGCATTCAATACTTTGCCCATGTTGTTGTTGTTAAGTGCCATTGGGTCGCATATGACTCACAGCAACCCTGTATAGGGCTTCCAAGGAGCAGCTGGTGGGTTTGAACTGCTGACCTTGTGGTTCGCAGTCCAGTGCCAACCCTACAGCACCACACCAGGAGTCCATTTTGCCCATGGTGGTGGTTATGTGCCAAAAGAGGGAACAAATCTTTACAGCGAGTATCATCCCCACCCCCTCCATACACAGAGTAGACAGGGATGGGCAACTTGGACATTGGCTACCCAAATTGGGGGGGCTACAAAGGCAAGAAGTGAGTGGCTCACAAGGTTTCAAGAGGGAATCTAGATCCAGAGGGCATGGAAGAAGGTAGAATCTCCAGTGAGTAGTATCCAATCTGTCTAGGAGGGGCTGATGAAATGAAATGCGGATATGTCTCCTGTGATACAATACTGAATAATTGTTATCAGGACTGCTTGTGAGGGTTGGAAATGTAAAGGCAGACGTTTCATAGCGAGGGGAGTGATTAACTTTGCAGTGTAGGAGTGGAGGTCTCTGGGACCATGAAGGGAGAAGAGTGGTGAGAGGGACCTTACCCAGAGAAGTGACACCAGAGATGGAGGCAGAGACGATGACGTGGAAATATGGAGAACCTGGGGACTTCAGAGTCAGAGAGGGAGAGGGGCTGTGTGCTGATGATTGGGGGGCAGGCTTGTAGGGTAAATACCCTTTGGTTGGTTGATGATGCATGGAGGGGTTTGTGACCATGGCAATGGTTAGGATGAATGTAAAACTAATGTTCTCCCATGTAAACTATCACATAATTCACAATACAACATTAAAAAAGAGTGCACAAATTATTGGACGTGTGTGTGTGTAAGTTTAAGCAAATATGGCACTTCAACATTTTTTGAAAACTACTTCTTTTACACAGAAAGTGATAAAGTTCAGAGAGAGAGAAAAAAACAAATTTCACATACCCGCTAATGAGAATGATGAAAAAATATTACCATGTGAAAAAGCAAAAATAATACAACAAAGTGATCTAAAGGGTTGGACACTTTGTGGGATGAAACTAACAAAGGCAAGTGGACAGGAACTTGTCAAGCTACCCTCCAAAAGCCTTCGAAAACAATCTACTCTTGTAGTTAAGTGCCATCGAGTCGGTTCCGACCCATAGCGACCCTGTATAGGGATTCCGAGGAGCGGCTGGTGAGCTTGAACCGCCGACTTGCAGTTGAAACCGACACTGCAGTTCAGCGCATTAATCCGGAGCGCCACAGTCTACTCATAAATTTCAGAGCAGGTCTGCCCTCAGGGGTCAGCCCTCACAGATGCAATTAAACACAGAGCTGGATTTCTGATATTCAATCGAAAACGTCTTTTTCTCCCGATTTCAACATGCTAGCCTCTACAAACTTTTGGAAGCCCCCCTCGTATTTTCTAAATGACAAGGCCAAGCCACAGTCGCAGGAAGCCAGGACAAGTTCCCGCCACCGGGAAGATGCTCTGGAGGCTGGTCCAGAGGGGAGAGGACCCAGGATGGGTGAGGTCACAGGGTGATGGTCCTGGAGCCGATGAGGGTCTGGGGAACTACGTTCCTAAGCGGTGAGGGTCTGGGAGAGTGAAGTCAGAGGTTATGGGGGTCCTGGAGTGGGTGAGATCAGAGGGGATGGGGGTCCTGGAGGGGATGACGGCATAGGAATGAGGGTTCGAGGTGGGGGAGTCTGGAGAGAGTGGGGATCTGGGTGGGCGAGGGCACAGTTGATGAGGGTACAGAGAGGGTGGAGGGGCCACAGTGTGAGAGTCAGAGAAAGGTGAGCCGTGGGGAGGGGAAGCTGAAGGCCAAAGTGGGGTCTCAGGCTGGAGGGCGGTAGGATGGCCGGGACTCCGTGTCCCCCGCCATCATCAGAGCCCCTCGCCCGCGCTCCTCACGCCCCCTCTCTCGGAGCCCCACGCCCTCACTCTCGCCCCCTTTCGGCCCCGCCGGCCGCCTCACCTCGTCCACAGCGCGGCGCGGGAGGTGCAGCGTTCCAAGCAGCAGCTTGAGCTTCACGGCCGACGACAGGCCGTGGAAGCAGAGACGGATGTTGTCGATGACCGCGGCCGTGAGCAGGGAGGCGATGCTGGGCGGCGCCCACAGCTCGTCGGTGGCCCCCAGCTTGTTGTGGAGCCACAGGCCCGTGTCGCTCTCCCGCATGGACGCCATCTTGGCGGGGAAAAAGCCGAGCACTACTGAACCGGCATCTTATGAAGATACCTACGCGCCCCAGCGAGGACCCCGCAACATGGCGGCGCCCAGAGGGACCAGGAGCTGGGGTGACACCGCGGGCGCCTCGCCTCCCACGGATCCGGTCCTCAGTAAGGACGTTTCTGAATGGCGGATGCGCTTTCAGGAAACTTCGTGGCGACGGTCGAGAGCCCGAAAGAATGGGAGCAACAGAAGAAGAACTGTCGGCTTCCGTAACGCATCATGGCGGTACCCATGGCCGGCTTCTTGCTCGGCCGTATGAGATGACGTCAGAGTGGGAGCGTTGCGCGTTTGTAGTCCGCTGAGGCGACTGGGACTCGTCGGGTTTGTAGTTGCGAATCCTGCGTCCAGGTGTGGGATGGACAGTCAGCTGGACTGACACGCCCGGCGGCGGCGCGTGAAGATGCTAGTTTCCTCCGCCCGGGTGTTAATTTCCCGGGATTTAGTTCTCTAATTGGCCTTCCAAGTCTCCCTGCAAAAACATAAGGGTAGTTTGCTTGGTTTGGCCGAAGTCCCAGCCTCCGAATCGTCGCCGATCCGCCCTTTGAGTCTCATTCCCCGATCTCGGATTTCCCCTCCCCGCCCTGCTGGTGGTTGTCATCGCCTGCTCAGGACCCTATTCCTGGCGTCCTTGTCGAGCTTGCTCTTTATGGGAGTGCTGAGCAATGGTTCGTGAATGACCGAGTCAGTAAACCCGGCACTCTAGCTCCATCCCGAGTTCCACCAAGGGCCGACCATGCCTGAAAGTGCCCTTCCTCTGGTCGCACCCTCTGGTCGGTACCCTTCTCTGAGTTTGGGAAGAGGCACATCTACCCTGCCTTGTTTCCTGGGGACCTCCGTGATACCTGACACCATTCTGGATCCCGGGTCCCAGGGACCTCCCTCCACCTAAGGGAGGCAGGACTGTGGCAATCGGGGTGAGGGAATGCTTCAGGATGGAGGTTTCTAAGGACAGGAAGGCATATAGGAAAATCCTTACCCAAGAGAACCAGGTAGCTTTCATTCATGTCTGATGCCTTCATTTCACTCAGCATTCCTGGGTGAAATTTCACTCGAATTCACTGGGCATCTGCTATGTGCCAGGCTCTGTTCCAGGGACACGGCTTTTGTGGGTTTGACATTCCAGGGGAAGTGGACAGTCTGCTGTAATAGTGTAAAAGTGCTGTGGAGAAAGAACACTGGCAGGGGACCCACTGAAAGGAAAGTAGGTCCAGCCCTTATCCTTCAAGTGGCCTTTCTGCCCCCAGGCTGGAGTCATCCTTGGGAAAATGGCCTGGAGCTGAAAGCCCCTTCTTCCTCAGGGGTCCTCAACCTGCCCAGACCCCTCTCGTTCCAACTGGCCCTTGGTCACACGTCTCAGAGTTGGAGTTGTTGTTGTTGTCAGGTGCCATTGAGTCGGAACCGACTCATAGCGACCTCATGCATAGCAGAACGAAACAATGTCCGATCCTGAGCCAACCTCACTACCGCTGCCACACTTGACGCCATCAATGATGTCACCTGGCTGATCCATCTTGTTAGATGTCTTCCTCTTTTTCTCTGACCCTCCACCCTACCCAGCATGACATCCTTCTCCAGCGACTGTTCTCTCCGGACAATGTGTCCAAAGTAGGAGAGACGAAGCCTAGCCATCCTGGCCTCCAAGGAGC